AAAGACTGTAAAGGAGGGCTCTTATGGGATCAGAAAAGTAATTCATTTTAGTCCTAACTGGAGTGAGACATGGTCATATATTTTCAGAGTTACATAGGTAAATCCCTAAAGTACTTTCTGGAAATATAAATAATACTAATATTACCTTGCTCTTATTTACCACCTTATTTTTTTCAAAGTGGTCTCTTAGGTATTAGCTCATTTGATCATGACGACCAATCCTCCAGCAGTCTAGAAAATGTTCTACGATATGCCAAGTTAAATTCATAAAGGGTGGCAGGGAACCCCTCAGAGGCATGTGCCAACTGACCTTAGGGTAGAAATCTTAAAATGCAGTGATTTCCAACCTCAGACTGGCTCTCAGTCATCTCAAAGGGATTCATGAAATTCTCAAGCTTAATTTCATTATCTGGTCTCGGCTACATGTGCCATCTCCATCCTGATACAGCACTTCTCTCCTCTACCATTCTACCAACATTTTCTTACTTCCCTCCCAGTGTTGCTTTAAAAGTCATCTAAGGACATTCCCAAACTATTAGGGAGATGAATGTCACAGTAGCAGTAGTAACCTATTGAGTTGAAGTACTTACTGCAAGGACACCAAATACAACATGCTGCTTTAGACCTTTATCTTTTACAAGATGACTCTCCTCTTGACTAGAATACCTGGAAAGTTCTTTTCCATCCTTCTAGCCTTAGAGCTCAGCTCAAGCATCATCTACCCTGTGAAACCATAGTTTCCTAAAGTGAGCTGACCTCTTACTCTTGAGGCCAGAGCATAGTACCTCCTGTAGGGCTCCTTTTATATCAACTGTCATTTGTTTATGTTTTTCTTCCCACTGCACTGGACTCTTTGACAGCAGGGACCACATCTGTTCCATTTCCGTACTCCCAGTGCTTAGCACAGTGCCAGGACAGAGTAGATGCTCAATGACAAATACATGTTCAATTAAACTGAGATGTATGTCATAAAATAGTTTAGAAGGTGCTATAAAACCAAACCAACATTGGGTTAGTGCTTTTTAAAAAAATAGAGACAATCACTAACCTAGCTGGCTAACTACATATACCTCAACTGAGGTATTAACAAGTAATTTATCTTTAATGGAAAGTTTCACATTTCTAAGCTACACACACTTGGAGGATAATTCCTCTTCCATTTCTGCTCCATTTTAAAGATATAGTGGGAACCCACCTCCTGTCTTCAGCATAGACTAAGCAAATAAAATTATGAGACCTCTTGATAAGTATGAAATAGACATTGGGAGAAAAATTTGACACAGGCAATTAAAAAATTTCTGGGAGGAAGCAAATGTGTATCAGTGAACACCTTCATATCACCTAAATTTCACTTCTGCATTTTATGGAACATAAAATCTGATTTTATGGCTTGAAATATCAGTATATTTTAACTGTCTATATCCTCAATAGTGAGGATGAAAATAAACAATGAATTAAAACATGTAGGCTAGAAATGTTTGGAAAAATAAAACTGCACACATATCACTCTTTTGGACTCTTGCCAATTAAAGGTTAGAACCTGAAGTTGGGGTAATAACCCACTGCTGTTTTTTTCTTTGACCAGAGATCTCACACAAAATCTGGATACTTACAGTTTACTAAAATCCTTGATGTTCAAATTTCAAAAAGTTCATGCAACAAAGGATAGATTCCAAACACTTCTTTTCAAAGAAGGCAAACTTTTTAGGTTTAATTTTGCAATACTAGGTTGGTTTAGGCATAATTAGTACATTACTACATAAATAAGACAGTGATATCTATAGTGTGAATTTAACGCTGAATATAAAACCATATTAAATTGTCAAAATTAGGATTAATAATAATATACTCAAAGGACTTTAAAACATGAATAAAATTAGGTGTAAAAACTCTACTATTTTGGGGCTTCCCTGGTGGCGCAGTGGTTGAGAGTCCGCCTGCCGAGGCAGGGGACGTGGGTTCGTGCCCCGGTCTGGGAAGATCCCACGTGCCGCGTAGCAGCTGGGCCCGTGAGCCATGGCCACTGAGCTTGCGCGGCCGGAGCCTGTGCTCCACAACGGGAGAGGCCACAGCAGTGAGAGGCCCGCGTACCGCAAAAAACCACCACCACCACCAACAAAAAAAACTCTAGTATTTTGACATTAACTTTTGAAAAATGTTTAATATTTTAAAATAGTTTTAAGAACATATGCTTTCTACTTTATTACAAGACAAATACTCTATCCAGAGCACAATTTATTACTACAAAATAAACGTATGTTTAAAAGACAGTCTGTCAATTGAAAAAAAAAAAAACCTCACACACATTAAAATAGCAGGTTTCCAGGCCAAGTTAAACAAAATATTTTCTACTTGACAAGCTGCTTACATTTAAATGAAAACAGGGCAATTGTGGTCAATAATATGGATTGCATATAATAAAAAGGACCTTAGATCATGTTAATACAAGGATCAGAAAGCAGTAACTTAAATTAAAACCACCCAATTATTTAGCAAACTTTCAGATACAGCAAATAAATTAATCTGTTTTAAATGAAAGTGCTCAGATAAGTAGCTTTTTGACCTATGAGTAAGTCTCACTAGCAGCAATCACAGCAAAGCAAGGATCTGCTGAAGCAAGGCAAAGCCCCCAAATCAAACAAATGGTATCAGTAATCAAAAAGCATTTGCAAAACATATTTCCTTGGTTAGTAGCAGGGGGTTCTGAGCAAATGCCGCCTACAGCTTCCTTCATACTTTGATATACAGTGTACGGGGGGGTGAACACATGTTTCTCTTACCCATGAACAAATGGGGTATTTTGCTTTTTAACAACAGGATATTTTCATTTCTGTACTGTCTTGTGAAAAAGGCCAGTCATTATACTATTAAGAATACATGTCTTTCACTTAAAATCCTCTATTATCCACTTATGTTTAACTTGTATTGGGATTTAAGAATGCGTCTTTATTGAGACAAGTAATATGTCATCATTTTGTTCAGCTAACAGGCCTGACAGACCCTGTCTCCTTGAGTTAAGCACAGCAGATCTCTATTTCGTACGTTGGTGGCAAAAGGTGGCAGAATAAATGAGAAATGCCAATTGGTAGTAAAGATTTTTAATCCCAAAGATGCAGACTTTCCTTTTGCCTTGGCCTTAATTATTCTATTTGGCCAGATGATGGTATGCTTTTTCAATAAAAGTGATCTCTATATATTGTAATAATTTATTTGGATGCCATTGTTATGTATTTTAACAAATAACATCACTATTCACTATATCTCATATTTTTGATCCTTTTTACTACTTATCACCTTCTTTATTTGAAACAGATTTTTAACAGATAATCTTGATCATTACAACAATATCTCGCTTCCATTTTATTCAAATAATTCTTAAAAACAGCTTAAAAAGCCGTTTGGAATAACATCAAGCTTGCCATCAATCAAACGAAAAAATTCCGCTGGCGGTTGTATAAACATCAGATCAAGTCTGATGTCTTCAAGGATTTCAGAGTGAACCATAAAAAACTCCATTAACTTCTGACAAAGAATGCAAATTAATCACAACATGGGGTGAAATGAAATTAAAGGCTCTTTTCTAATCAATGACAAGGCAGGATGAAATATTTGTTACTCTCTCTGCACTCAGACTGCCTAGGATGTTTGCACTTCCCTCGCAAAGCCCCAAATGTAAGGTGTGAGTACAGATTCACCCAGTTGCTGTTTAGCCCTCCCCGCCTCCCCCACCCCCGCCCCCCAGAGCTATCTGCTTACAAGTCGTGGAGATTCACAGAACACACTAATCATCTGAATCTCAGGTGCATCCAATTTGTTATTCACACTCTCCCATGCCAGTGAAAAGCCTGGCGCAGACAGATGCACCAGGAACCCTAAATGACAGTTTTGGCCTGCGGAAGTACAATCACTACAGCAAAATCTAGTACAGCCTCCAGGTGAAATGTCTGGAGCTCCATATGGAGCAGGGAAAATTAACAACAAGATGAAAATCACTGCAGCAGCGGGGAGTCGGAATTTTTGAAAAAAAAAATGAAATTTAAAGATAAAGAAAGAGAAGTAATAAATTAATGGGGTGTGAAAACATTCAAAGCTTTACAATACCAGGGGCACTATTTGCTCAGATTTTTTTCCTTTTTTTAACTTCAGGTCATTTTGATGTAACTTATTAACCAAGATCGGGAAATGCAGCCAAAAGAAGAACATTTTTACACATGCAAAAGTACCTTAAATACATTTGTATCTACATTATCTTCACTTTCCTGTGGCATCTTGCTTACCAATTTCCAAACGCCAGAGCTGGCACATCCCCTGAGAAGTCTCGGTAATGGATTTACTATCATCCTAATGCAGGGTACTGTTGTAAAGTTTGAATGAAGGATGACAGTCTTTAGCAGGCAATCTTTTTCATTTCTCCTAAATTATGGTGTCGTTAAACAAACCGTTGCCCACCATCACGTTTTCTAAGTCAACTGGATTTGGATCTACATGACTAACTATACACAGCTCTAGTCCTTGTCCGGACTTGCACATTTTTCCCGATGACTATTAAAGCTAAATTGTTCAAGAAACTGAGATACTATCCGTTTACCAGATGTTTAAAAACACAAGTTTTCATTATGCTATTGCGGAATATCCTTCACAGGCACGCAGAGTTTAATGGCACTGGGGTCAGTGAGAGCTCTTGGGTCCCTCCAGATCCATCACTCTGCTAAACACATGGTAAGAAAAGCAAAAGGGCTCTTGGGAACGGTCTTGTCATCATCTTCCATGGCACAACCCTTCTCATCTACACAGGAGGCCTCCTGAGGGCAGAGAAGGAGAGCCAGGAGAAGGGCTTGGTGGGGCTGAGCGGGAAGGAGTGCAGTGGTTTGAACAGCAAACCAAAATCAGAGTTCACAGAGCCAGTCATTTGGTTTAGCCGCCTGCAAGCCCTAGATCTAACTGTACCCATTCATCCCCAAGGCAAGGTGCCTCATCTCTCTGAGACTCAGTCTGCTCACCTGGAGGCTGGAAATAACAGTCCCGAGTCAGATAACAGCAAGTGCTTTGGAGCTGGATGTCGGAAAGGTGCTAGGTGAATCTGACATCGTTGTTCCTCCTATTATAAGCTGTAGTAATAAGACTGTGTATCTATAATGGCTCCTAACCTTTCTTTCCATAGAGCCCTAAACTGCATGCCAGTGAGGCTACGCAACTTTAAGGCCTAAAGGAAACTAAAATAGACAGTGTTTTCAAATAACAGATAAAAACCCAACCCCCCAAACAATGAAGTTCATGGAGAATGATTATCTCAACAAAAATCCGGTCCTTTAACCTTTATGTTGGTCCCCAGCTACTGACTCTCCCTGCTATCTTCCCAACACCCCTCCCTCATCTGCATCCCCACCAGATACACACTGTGTCACCGGCAGGAAGAGACGCTGCTAACAACGCTGTCAGCAGCACTGACGCTGGGCTGGGGGAAGGACGAGTCTGTATGCTGGCCTTGCCTCCCCTCTTTCCCTTCTGCTCATTTTACACTCTGCTCCAGCTGCAGCTGGCAGGTTGCAAGCACAGCCTCTTGCAAACTTTGGTTGAGGATTAGAAATTCATATCCATAATCTTATTTGATCTGCATACTTCTAATCAGATAGGAAAGGCAGGTATCAGGATGCTCATTTTAGAGATGAGGAAACAGGCCAAAGCAAGAATTAAGGCCTGCAATGACCCGAGCTTGTTAGAGCTGGGTTCTAATCCTAATCTTCTAGCTCCTGGTCTAGAGTTCTTTCAAACAGGCCAGTCTCCTCAGCTTGCCATTAGTGAAGGCAGCTGAGATCTGGTTCCCTGATTTGACTTTGAGTACCCAGCCCTGGGTACATAAGGGATGCAAAACTGTGAGATCTTAAGGCTATATGAAAATCTTTCATGTGTTCAAGGGCCAGACCAGTGGGTAATAATTAAGATGAGGCAGTCCTCAGCCCGGTAAATAAAGCTTTGGCTCTATGGCTGCTTTGTAAACTAGTGAGTTACCTATCACTGGAGGTGTTCAACTTTGCTTTTTGGAGATATTGTAGAGAGGTTTGATTCGATGTTGTCTGAGATCACTTTCTACTCCTGAGAGTGTGTGATTCACTCCTGCCTATTCCACTTGGGATTCAATGGCCCCAAACCACCTACAGTACAACAATGAGCAAATCAACCATCCTGTTTGTCCAATTTATGAGGGGAGGCTATCACACAGAGTGGTTAGGGGTTCAAATGAGATAATACAGGCCAAAGAGAAGGTATTATTTCATAATCCAGTCCCTGCGATACTATAAAAATAAACATTTTCCTTCATGTGCTTTATTTGAAGGCAAAAGGGTAGAAAAGGAATCTATAAAGTAACCTTTCCCAATCTTCAGTCTATAGTACAAACCCTGTAAAATAAATGCCAACTCCATCAAAAGTCATTAATGATTCCAGCAATGAAGTGCACAAACTTCTGTTGAAAGACCTGGGAAATAGGCCTGATGGCATCAAAGCTGCTTCTATTATTTGAAATGAAAGTCCCAATTTGGTGACAATATTCTATCACGATTCAAGGAATACAGTTTTCCCCTCACTCTGGCATAACAGTGATTGCTACCTAGGGAGTTCAGCACATTAGAATTTTCCAACTTCCACTCGACTGATGAAGTAAACATATACTTAAACATTCCAGAAAACAATACTGCAAAGGTAGACAGCCTCTTTCTAAATTCGACCAGAGCCTTCAAAAGCTTCATTTGTCAAATGCGATCGTTTCTTAGACTTATCACTTATCAAATCTCGCTGATTAAATACTCTAGGCATTAGGAATCTCAAGAATACAGCTACACTCCCAATCTTTGGTATTTTTTTTTCTTAGATGGCTTATACAAGTTTTCTATTAAGACTTGTTTGAGAGAGAAGTTATATAGTACCTCTTCTCTTCATTTACAAAATTTGAGGGGATTGCGTACACTGGCCAAACAGTGAATTGTTTAAAAATTACTGACAGAATAAGAGGCTTACCAAGATAAATATTCTAATGAGCTATAAATCCTGAAAATGTGATTTTAATTTGATGGGCTACCTAGAGCTAAGCAGCAAGGCTGTACACAGTAAAATCTCACTAAATGCGAGCATGCATGCCAAGTGGTTACACTTAGGATCTTCTCTTTAAGGAAAAGATTATGTTTAAACAAAGAATCCTACTAATTTGAAAAGTGAGACTGACACTCTTGAACCTAACAACTTGGATGGTTTCTCCTCCACTTATCTGATGGCTTTAACTGTAAAAGAAAAAGGATACAAAAGAGACATTTCAGCGTGTGAAGGGGCTTTAAATGTCCACATGGGTACCAGGACAATTTGCTTAAAACTGCTTATAAAGACGGTAGAGAGAATGAGCCCCATCCTATTATTCAATAACCATGTTTGTGATGCATCTGCATAATCTAACCATGCATAAATTAGTATGTGTAATACAACACTTATTTGCATAATAATAGCAAGTTAATAGATGCTTAAAGAGCAGAGACCAACACCACCTTTAAATCAGACATGCCTCCGGGCACTTTGGCCTGTACAGACCAAGATGCCAGAAAAACAGGGAGCATCAACCAACAGTCAAACCATTCATTTTTCATCCCTCTAGACATTTCACTTATTTCCCCACACACACTGGGGAATCATTTTCAAACCACAAAATAGCTTTATATTTTAAGTGCTAGCACCCTTCTATAATAAAAATCTTAAAGAAATTACTATAGAGATTATTATCAGCAATGGTAACATAATGGACATTTTATTTTCCTAGAAATGTAAATAGGAAGGGCAAATTTTTTAAAAAGAAAATGTTCGAAATCACAGCCACATAAAATTGGGGGCCCATCTATTTGCTTAGCAAAAATAATGACTTAGATTAGATATTTTCACCCTTCACCTCAATCCTTTAATTCAAATACCTAATTGAATCCAAAAACGCAAATAGTGTATCAAGAAAAGGCTGTGCCCCTTTTCCAACCTCAGTAAGAGCACATGCTACTGGGTTGGGATGAGGAAAAACATTACCAGTGCCACACAAAGGAAGAGCACAATGATGGCTTTCAACCTTTAACAAAGAGGAAAAAAATCTGGAGTATAAAAAAATCAAAAATCAATAGAGACTCCTAAATGACTCCTTTAAGATATCACTTTTCAATTTAACAGGACAGATTTATTTGTATGTGGCTCAAATGTTCACAATTGCTCCCTGCACTTCATACATAGGAATGAATGTCACAGTGGAAAACGGCAGTAATGAACAATCTTACCTGAGGATATGGAAACCTCCCAAGAGCAAGCTGAGAAAGGAAATAATATTTGTCTAGTTATAGATTTGCATGCAGGGCAGATCTTAAGACAGACAAGTACTAAATTTCAGAATTACATCCAGCAAATATAAAAAGCTCACAACCTTAAATGCACAAACTAAATTATTGCTGTAATCACATTGAAAGCTATATATAGAATGAACATTTACATTGGACAATGTTGCATCCCTGATAAAATATTCTATTTTTAACAACTAAACACTACCCTTACATAGTTTCTCTTAGGAATATTGTCAGCTGTACGGGCATTATTCACATTTACAAGTGTACGACAGTTTCTTCTAAACAGAGACGTAAAACCATAGGATACTGTTGGCTTTTCCTCCTGTAAAAATGGAAACACTTAATTGCTCCTAGTCCACAGCTCTGTAGAATTTTCAGTTATAAGTATTATAGGAAGAGCTGTAGGAAATGGGGAGTGGGCCATGTGAAATAGAACATTGTGCCATTATTTTCATTTATTTGTTAGTTTTTTTCATCCATTCATATTTAGAAGAAAAGAGCTACTACTAGTGGGAAAGTGGCAGTTCAAGACTATGAAGTCGGAACTATAGGTCTGAAATTGGGTAACTGAATCCTTACAGCTTCCAATTTTATTTAATTAGTAAACTGCTATGTGTTTCTAGGCCACTCACTTAATTTTGGTCTTTGAATTCTCACCTGTGAAAACAAAATGATTCAACCAGGAATAGGATTGATATGAAGCGATAAGATCAAATTTACCAAACATACCATAATTTATTTAAAGAGAACTGTGGCTAAATTTTGCAACTTCATAATGTGGCCCATCGTCAGGTCTGAAATCCTTTATAGGTATTTGTAAATACTTTCAAAGTAGAATCACTACATCAGGGAACTTTGAAGCTAGAATGGATCCAAGGAAACATCAATCTGTTTTACAGATTAGAACCCCAGAGTCCCATTGAAGGTGTTTCCACACAGTTAATCAGTAGAAGCCTGGGGACTGACCCCAAGACTTGCAACGTAATCCAGGGTTCTTTCCAGCATATTACATTGCTTTTCTAGATCTTGAGAAGTTGTGCACTTATCTCAAAGACACTGACACTGCTCAAACATTTCTGAACTCCTCTTTTGGAACTGTGTTTAGAATCATTTCAAGTCACAGAAGAACAACTACTTCATTTTATTAGAACTGCATCTTATCTTGAGCTTAAAATCATACCCCTCTGGTTTTCTGATCATGTAAATTATTTGTTGACTAAGGTCTGAACGGCCTATGGGTATTACCAAAACCCAAATTCAAAGAAAAAATATTTTGTTCCTTAATAAGGATAGACATGAAGATGCTGAGGTTAATTTTTAAAGTTCTAAAACCAGTTTGAGCAACAGCAATGTAATAGGAATAAACCATATGACCATGTAAGGTGACTACTTGGAAAGGGCCAACACTCATTTGGATGTGTGTGTGTTTGTGTGTATATATATGTGTGCGTGTACATATATATATATATCTATATATGAATACGTGGTAAGATTTGTTACCTTGTACTCATTTCTTGCGTACTCAGAATTCTCAGATTTTCAAGACATAAAGTTATACTATCATTGTTTCATTTGGTGGATGTCATTAATCTGTTCAACTATAGAGTGAAGGAAAGAGAGTATGGATGTTAATCAAACTCCCTTTCACAGTTTTGTGTGATTATGTCTGTTGTCTATATGCTGCTATTAGTTAGGAAGGGGAGGGACTCAGCTCTCCACTGCCTCCACTCCACCCTCACCCAAAATAGGCTATTGATTTGACTTACATTCTGTAAACACAGTGTGTTTCTGGCCAGTGAGAATGTGCACATTGATTCAGAAAGAGCCACTATGGTCTTTTGTGGCAGTAATGGGTGGGCTAGGCATTTGCACCATTCTGTACTGAACTGACAGGCAGTGACAGCTCACCAAAAGCTGTCACCTATCATCACACCCATCCGCAGATTATGAGTTTTACACATTCTTTCATTTGGAAAAAGTAGCAAGAGGAGGGTCTCTCGTCTGAAAAAGCTGACAGCTTAATAACTACTAGAAAACGTTTAGAACATCCTATCTGAAATCCTTCTACAGGTGCTGCACCATTCACTCTGGTATATGTTGAACATGTCATTAGGGCCTATGGAAGAATTCTGTCCACGTAGCTTACCAGCAGAAGAAACTTGCCCACCATATATGCAGTTAAGGTCTAAACTAGCTGGCCAGTGCCAACACTGGCCATTGGTTCTTGTAGATTAAAGAACTAAGCAATGATAAAAGGAAGACTTTAAAAAAAAAAAGAGTAGGATGAGGTGAAAAATGTGAACTTTTTCCACTTCAACACAAAGCCTCAAATTCCCAAGTCATCACTATTCTATGGAGAGCAAGGCTACAGCAGACTTGGGAATGTGCACTCATCTACTTGGCCCCCTCTCCCAACTGGTAAAAGGTAATTAGGCTGGCTGATGATATTCATTTACTCTGTAAGAGACCTCCATCAAGAGAACAGAGAGGAAATTCAGCAGGGAGCATCTCTGTACCAGCCTGCTTGGGAACAGGTGGCAATGCTTGAACTAGTGACCTCAACATTCTTGGAACTGGCTTTACTCATGTGCACTTTCCTGATATCCTGTGGAAGCTCAGTCTTACTTGTCAACTACATTCCTGCGAGGACTGTTTCTAAGGCATCTTGCAGGTCTGACCTCTTTTCAATCTGAGGGCAGAGAATGGTCCCCTGTTCTTGACCAGAGACGCGCAACATCATTTCCTCTCCCACAGTGTCACCACTGGGCTGCTCCAGTGGCAAGGCAAGGATTCCAATCCGCACTAGTGAAAACTGGCAGCGGTACTATAAGGCTGGCACCACAAGCAGTCATTTTAAGGCCCTGGGAGAGGGAGCTGCCTTCCATGTATGTCTCTGCCCTTTCAGGCTTAATGCAGCTGCAATGTTTATATTCTACACTATTTGTCTGGTGGCCAAATAGAAGGAAATATATAGCTAAGCCCTAGAACCTTTTTATCAAGTTCAATTAGGAGAAGGTAAAAAAGGAAAAGGGCTCTTAGCAGATATGGCTGAGGCTGCCAAAAGTCAAAATAAACACTGAACCCTTATGGGGAAGAGGGAGTACATATGCTATGAGTGAATATTTCAGAGACAGATGGACCTGGGGCCATTCTGTATCTTTTACCCTTACTGGTCTATTAATCTACTTGCATTTCCCTAGTTTTTATTGTCAAGGTATTATAAATTAGGAAACTTACAAAAGAGAGTATGTAATCTTCTCTGAAATGGCCTGCAGATATGTCACTGTACTAAATGTGTTTCAGATTTAATGAAGCTTTAATGTCCTTTTTAATTTTGCCTGTTTCTGTATCACCAGGGGTCGGGCAAGGCAATCAGCACTCAAGAGGGTGGTTTGGTTTAAAACTAGGAAAAAACTCATTTGCTTATGAGTTGCACTGTATTTTCTTAATTAAATTTACTGAGTAAAATGGTTTAAGTTCAGCCAACCAATGACCTTTGTATGTAGATGTAGATTTATAAATAGGTTAAAGAAGAAAAAAAAAAGAATCACAACAAAGCAAACAGATTAGGGCTTAGCCAATGGAAGTCTTTGCCCTCTTTATCATCTTTACAAAAGAAGCATTTAAATTTAGGCAGCTTAAGTCCAGTTTAAAAAAACGTATATTGAAAAATGTGGGCGCACAGAAGCGCCAGCAATTCATCAAATGACTCTAACATCCTTTTCATTCCCAGCAGGGGAGCGGCTCACATTGTAAAAGATTTGGAAAAGCTTTATTTATTTTGGGGAAGTGGAGGTAGAGATGAGGGAGGGAGAGGATTCTATTTAATGTTAAATAAAAAAGTGCATTTTAATTCTAAATACATAAGATTCAGCAAAGTGCTAAATACTCTGTTCGTGGTGGGAGATTTACTATGCAAAAGGCAGAAAAAGAATGCTCCAAAAACACTTACCAGTTGGGAGTACACTTAAATAACAGTAAACCACTAACCTTTCACTGTAAAACTAGGACTGCTCCTCAGTGTTATCTTATTGATCTTTGATTTGTCCAACCATAATCTATGAAATACTCTTGAGTTAGCAGTATCTGAATAGGTTGGACTTCATCATTTAAATAACCAATATATGTGTGAATGTGATTATAACAATTGCCAAATACATAACAAATGCGTGATAGAAACCTTTGTATTTTAACAAAAAGGGTAGAAGATGTTTATTTACAAAGCAACAAAAATGGCTTCTGTTGATAATAAGAATAATTATTGTCATGAAGTCATAAATGATAAAGAGAAAACATACATTGTAACCAGAAAGCAAGTGCAGGACACAAACTCAGGATATGTTTTTGGTGATCAACTGACCAACTCAGAATATCAACAATGTGGGAGTAGCTTTAAATTTACAGTTATACTGAAGAGCACTGGATTTTATAAATTCTTAATTTAGACATATTCTATGTTTCTCAGCAAAACTGCAAATTGAAAATACGCATTTTCAATATAGCCAGTGATCTAGTTGAAGGAGGACTTTATAGCCTGAAATGTTCTAAAATTTGTTCTTAATTACCCTTGTGCACATTTTACACAATTAAATTTCCATCGAAGGATTTTGCATTTAGATTGTGCACTGCAGTTAAACCTTTATTTTACAGAAATGCAGCAGCCACTTTGGGACATTCAGACACAGGGAAACTTTAAAAAAATCAGACTTAACTACTGGATTACATAAAATTCCCTAGGTGAGATTTCATCCCAAGACCAATTTACACAGTCCTAGAGAGAGAGTTTAAATCATCTGAAACTATGCTAGCGAAGGACCATAATAAATACTAAATACCTCAAAATCTACCCTAAGATTTTTCTTTTCTTCCCGTGTATCAATTTCACTGTCCTCTTACTGCATGGTTTAAAAACAATCCAAAGGATATAACAGCAATTTACCAGTGTTAAAGTGCTTTGGAGGTTAAAT